AATCAATCAGGGCAGCTTCAGCCCGGGGACTCAAAACAATGCCGACGCCAGCTTGACCGCCATTTGAAGTTGCGTCATCGCTAGACAGTCGCAATGAGAATGTGCAGCCAGCGTCGCATGTGGGGGATTGGCAGCGGGAAATGAAGACAATGATGACCAAACTGGGTGCCGTCGGTCCGCCTAGCCTTTCAGGCTGGAGTCCACGTGACTCGCCTTGTGCTTGGCTCGAGACTTTACAGGACATGGCTCGCAACCGACACCAGTGGCGCGTCTGCTGCCGTCTCCTAGTCCGACTGCCTGTTTAAAGTGTTTGATGCCGAGTTATTTGCGGGGTAATGGCTGATTATGACGCAGAGCAATGAAAGCCGCAATGAAGCTGTTTTGCCGATGCTGCCTTATCTTTGCGCGAAAACCAGCTGTTTGTGACTGTATGTTGTTAACACAAGGTGGAGGCTCATTGACCATGAATGTTTGTTTAGAGCATTAAGATTTTCAAGTAAGCCCCTTTCTCTCCCTCTTATTATTCTTTATTCCATTAGTCATCATGGTTGTATGGCAGAGAACTATGAGTTCAAGTGACTGCTCTAGCAGTTGTTTTGTGGCTGTGCTTGATGTGAATGTTGAGAGGGCGCCTACCTGCCGATTACCCTTAATCTGGATTACTGGCTCAAAGTGAAAGCTGGCCTTTGCTGGAGGGGATGAGATGCACAGTCATCGTGATCGTGCTAGACTCAGTGGTTCCATGCATTTAGTATGGGACGCGCTATGGCCAGTTACCGCCTTTTCTACGTCTGATACGCATGACTTACCGTTAAGACAGGACTGCTGCTACTGCTGTGTATGTTGAAGGAATGTGAACCGGCTCCGTTGATGAAACGTGGCTCCCATCCACATGCCTCCCGGTCTTAGTCATTCGGGTTTACACTGGATATGGGAGTGTAAGCATGGAGCTGTATGTGGTGATGCGTAAGCCACCCATGGTTCCTCTGTAGGCGCAGATGTCCTGTGGCTGTCCCCATGGAAACCGCAGTGACAGGCAAATCCGGAGTGGGATACTGCCGGTCATACTTCTCGCGAGACTAAAGCCACCGCACCCGCAAAAGAGTGAGGTGACGTGCACCAGTCTCGGAATAGCCATGGACGCGAACTGATCACATTGATATCAGTTAACGATGAAGAGACTGTGTTCAAAACTGTCGCTCAATTTGCAGCACGAGTGTCAACTTCGATTACGCACTTGCATGTACCGATGTACGGGTTGGCTCCGGCGGACGCTTGCGACGACGCCAGCCAACTGGCGAAGCCAGTTTTGCATGCGGGTTGACTAAGCGCAAGTTGAGCACAGTTAAAGGTCACTAGTTGCAAAGTAGCCAGACGTTATCTACAGCAGGCACATCGACAAACATCACCTGGATCGATGGCGGCTTGCGAGGCCACCTGATGCACTATGATCCCTGTGGAATGCGGCACTAATCGCACCGGGGGCTTCTGATTCTGCACGTTCTGATTTACATGCTGGCTTCCATCAGCTGTGTTGCGGTTCTAAAGTTCACTATTTCGTATTTGTATTTTCATCCTTTTTGGCGTCTAGGCCCAAGTTGAGCAGATTGTTACATTCATCTGCAATGTCCTCTGATGTTAGTTCTGGCTCCAGTTCCTAGTCTGTTTGAACGTTAAACTTCTGTGTCAGCAACTCTGTCAATTGCCGCCGTGATTCTTAAAATATTGACTGCTGGAGGAGCGTCTGCATTTGCTTGGAAGAGATGGCAGAAAACTACAGCGACAGAGTTCTTGTGAGAGTCTCGATTATTTGCAGTTGTGCGGCCTCGAAGTGCTACTGCTGTTGTAGCAAAATAGCTTTCAAATTTTTTGGTGAAATAGACTTCTTCATTAAGTTTGCCCTCCGACACCAGAAACCTTGGGGTTTCCGCTGGTTGTACTGATGAAGTGTTGTGCCGTCCCGTCGGTACAACCCGCAAAGAAATGAGTACATTAAAGATCAGCCAGGACCGAGAGTAGTTTTGCATAAAAGCAGAGCGGAATAGGTTTAAAGCAGCTAGTTAACACATCGAAGATGTCAATTCATTTCAATTAACGCAACTCGAAAAGGTGCAAGTTTAGGGTTCAACTTACTGCTGACTCCATATAGATTCGCGTTTGACCTCTGCTTGAGAAATCACCAAATGTAGATCGATCCAACCTTGCACCACGGCTCCAGCCTTGAACGCTGGCTCCCCGTAACAGTAGCGTTAGGTAATAACTTTGGGGACGTCTTAAACACTGTTCGGCACTGTGTCGAATGGTATGGCAGCGCTTCGTTTTAACCCGATGTATATACAGATCCTGTCAGACGACTGCCCGCTGAGAGTCCGGAATACGTCCCAATTGAGCATGATTTGGAATGTCGAAGGATTGTAAGGAATGTTTCGCCGTGTACCCCGATATGCCTCTCCAGGTGAAGCTAGGATAATAGGAAATATAGGGCAATGTGCATTGCCCTATAGTTCCTACTATTCTAGCCTCACCTGATGCCTTAGTTGTTGCACGTGAACGAAACTAAGGCGCACAAGTTAGTCGAAACACACAGAAATGGTTTAGTTATATGAAAAGTTATATACTCATCGCAGAAAGGAGTCCACATTATCACACACGCACACTTATATTTAATCCGACGTTTGGCTTTGCAACAAACCTGCCACATATTCCCGATAGTCCGCTGACAGTCAGAGTACTGACAATTCGACAACGAATTGGTAGGGGAGCGATTTCACGGCATTTAGAGAAAACTATCTTACTAAGCAATCCCTTGTTGAAGACTACATGCCATATTGCGTAGGAAAAATGTAGAAATTGCATTGAAACGATTAGAAATTCTCGACAATCCGCTGACAGTCCGAGGAGACTGTCAACGGACTCTCGACAGTTCGAATGTGCTGGCAGGGGATTAGCTGCAGGTTTTCAAAACAAGTCATCCGACCCTAAGGATAAAAAAACGGCGTACAGGGTGGATAACTGAGACGAAAGCTGTGCAGAAAAGGTACCAAGCAGAGAAATTTTGGCACGACTAAGAAGCAGGATTTGACGTCTCATCCAGAGTTGAGCGGAAGGCTAAGTACATTGCAGCCCCAGCTTGTCATGTGTTTCGCTGCTCTATTGAATCCGGACGTCTTCCATCAGCCTGGAAGCTGGGTATCGTCAAGCCCATATTTAAAGGAGGGAACTGCCAAGACCCAGCAAACTATCGTCCCGTTTGCCTAACATCAGTAATGTGTAAAATTATGGAACGGATTGTCAAGGGAGCTCTCAGCCTTTACTTCGACGACCGGAATGTGATTTCTACTGCTCAGCATGGCTTTCGTAAGTCACGCTCGTGTACCACCAATTTGTTAGTTTCCAGCGAGAAATGGGCGAACTCACTGGATGCTGGCAAACGTATGGATGTTATCTACGATTTCAGCAAAGCGTTTGACAAAGTTCCTCACGAGCGGCTTTTGTTCAAACTTCAAGCAATTGGGGTCTCTGGGAGGGTTTTGTCGTGGATTTCGGATTTCCTTTCAGACCGAATTATGCGAGTTAAGGTCAACAATACGTATTCACCCTCCGTCCTTATGAGCAGTGGCGTTCCTCAGGGCTCTGTTCTTGGACCAGTTGTTCAAATTCTTCATTAACGACCTTCCTTCAACCCTCCGGACCGAATGCTTGATCTATGCAGATGATTTGAAGTTATGGATGGAGGTAACCAGCGCTGAGGATGCTGACCGCCTCCAAAATACACTGGATCGGCTGCACGATTGGTCTCTTAAAAGGCAGTTGCCTATAAATCGCGATAAATGTTCTGTACTACCCATTGGTGCTACTGAACCATTCGGTGTTTACCACCTTGGTGGTTATTTGCTTAATAATGTGAAACAGGAAAGAGACCTTGGTGTTATAGTATGCTGTGATCTAAAAACCACCCAAGATACTTTGAAGGTTGCTGCGGCTAACAGACTACTGTGTTCTATCCGAAGAGCCTTCTCACGATTGACGCCGGAGGTCTTCAGACTTATCTTTTCCTCCCATGTGCGTCCAATCCTCGAGTATGGATTACCTGCAGTTCATCCACTTACGAAGCTTGAACATGGCTTGATTGAAAAAGTTCAGCGACGCGGTTCTAAGTACATCTTTGAGTTCCGACACCTGCCATATCACATTCGTCTCCAGCATTTGAATATGTTTTCCCTGGAATATCGGCGTCGCCGAGGCGATCTGATCTACGCTCGGCGCATTCTGCGAGGCGAGATAGGAAACGAGCTCTTCTTCCAGGTTAACACTGAGTGTTCGACTCGGGGCCACTGCTGGAAACTGTTCAAACCTAGGAGACTCAGGCTTCGCTCTGATTTTACACTATCGAATCGTGTGGTGAACGACTGGAACTGCTTGCCTAATTCCGTCGTCAACGCGCATACGGAGGAATGTTTTAAACGATTGTTGGATTTATACCTCTTGAATTTACAGGGATCTTGTTGTTTCTTATGTAACTGTGACAATTTAACTTGTTAATTGCTGTTGCGCCAACACCTGCTATGATTGGGAGGTGATGGAGCTGACAAAGGTCTTTCCTTCTGCTCTCTACAATACAATGATTACAATGATTACCTGCACATGTACAAGGTAGATGAGCCGAACAAACACTCCTTGTTGAGGAACACGGTTAAGGCAGATCAACTACAGATAATATGGGCATATGAGTTGTGGAGTGTAACGCAACAGCCACTGCGTGTGAGAATGGTTTCGGTTAACACCTTAACGAGCTGGGTAAGGGAACGAAGAACGAAAGACAACGGGTACGAGGGGTAGAGCGACCGCAGAGTATACGCTAAAATAATCCGTAATCGATGTTTGCACTGGATGACGAGCCTCAGTGAGACGTAGAAAATGCAGAAAATGGTGGCAAATAAGAAATTGGGCTGCATGAAATAAAGTGCCAAACTTTTGCAAATACTCGCAAACCGCATTACCTGCAGTGTCCCATATTTCGAAACGTACTGTCTGTTGTGGGTCACCAAAAACGACGGTCTGTGTTAGGAAAGCAGCTACACGAATTAATGCAAATGTCACAGGTACCTCCGATGGTAGCCTCCTGATATTCGCTGAATTGAGCTTTCACAAATCGCAGCACGATGCTAGACTTTCCGACAGCAGATTCGCCCAGTAACACTAATTTCGAGCTAATTTGTCTGTCTGACATTGACAAAACCAGGAATAGAGCCGGACAAAACGAAGTGAACAAAGCAAATTGAAGCCCGTACAACGCGCTAACAGAGCACAGTAACGTGGGGTTGCGTGTTGGGTTTGCCAATCCAAACATTTGCTCAGCCGAATAATAAGTTATCTAAAAAAAATAAACTAGCTTCTGCAAAACGTAAGTATATTTTTTACATGAACCAGTTGGTTATTTGTTTAGACAAGACAGACAAATAGAATTCGAGTATTAGACATAGCAAAATTTGCGTCTTTGTGCGCTATTATTCAATATACATCTATATACCTTTTCTGATTGCTTTGTAACTTTTTGGCATTACGAATTGCTTTACTTTAAAAGCACATGTTACGGCACTTCCCGCTTCTCTGTTAGTAGACTTCTGACGGTAGAAAAGAAAGTGACAAAAAAAGCGGCGACAAATATTTATGAAGTTGAAACATATTACCTCGCCTTTATTATAAATTTAAGTGTGGAAATGCAACATGTACATCAAAAACGCGTGCGATGGACGGAACACAAAACTAATGGCGGCGGCGCGAGTGTTAAAATCTAGAAAAGCTGAATTCTCAAGTACAGTTCGGAGAGTAACATGATTATCCTGTAAATGCTCCTTCATGTTCAAGTCCAAGTGGGACTGGAACAGTGGGATAAATCCCCGTGAATGTTCCTTCCGTTGCGCGTCGTGGATCCAGCGTATTACTTGTTTGCGACAATTTGAATCCAGAAAAATCAGATCAGTGCCCGCAAATCACCTCACGGTTAACCAATTAATATTCACGTTACTTGCATTGGCTGTAACCGGCGCACCGGTCAAGTGCAGTAAGAAACAAAAGTACGAAAGTAATAAGCGCGTCAAGAAGTAAAGTGTAATAGGCTTACTAATTACATAAGCCGAATAAGTTAATTGGTGAAGGGGAATGTTAAGAATTAAATTTCAAGGACGTCCAGTCGGTGTTCGAACTCTTTCATCGTTAGTGCCGATACCACGTTCTCGGTCAGTGCATTCCCGGAATCCGCCACTTGCCGTTTTAAACGAAATCCACCGGGACTCCATCCGATCGATGTTTGTGTAACTTCATCGAGTGACCTCGGAGAGATGGACGCCGAGCCGCTTGGAAAAGCCCAGGTAAATGGAGTCCGACTTAACCGATATGTATGCGATAGGCCAGGATCACGTTGTCTCGATGGCGCCGATAATGCATGGCGAACATTCCTACCTCAATTACTCTTTCTGGTTAAGAAGGTTTTCCTAGCCTATGAACCATTTTCGTTCCACCTCTGGACACTCTCTCCACTAACATCCTCTCCCTAACTAAGCAAGGTGGACAAGTCTGGATAGAGTATGCTAAGTGTGGCCTGGCAAAGGCTGAAAATAACTTACCTAACACAGCGCCCTTTATGGTCCCGAATGCCCTTCGGATCATCTACAACATTCTGATACCCTTGCACGTAGATTTCCTCCAGTTCTTAATGGATTTAAGCTCTCAAGGCAACCTGAGCCCTAAGTCTATCAGTTGGCAAACATGGTGTAGTTCATTACCGCCAAGCAGATAACGCGTTTAAAGGCAATTTTATTCTTATGGTAAGAAGAAACCCTTTGCATATATTAGGGGTGAATGACACAGAGCTGCCCATCCAAAAGTTCATGGAGGGTCCGTTGCAGATTCGGAGGTCCATCGGGGTCGGGCACTGTGTGCCAGCAAGTTAGCTCCTCTGCAAACCTGAGAGATGGTACCCAGTATTTCGGGCAGTTTATCGACACAGAGAAAATAACAATGGGCCATGCACCGAAACCTGAAGGCTGCCACTGCGGACTTACTAACGGAAAGACGGACTAGACGCTAGACGAACCAACAGTTCTATTACTTCTTGGAACGTAGTAAGCCATTTTTGTGCACGTCCTGATATGCCATAGGATCGAAGCGTCAAGGAGAGGCGCGAATGTGTTAGAGTGTCGAAAGCCTGGGAGAAGTCAATAAACAGTACATCTACTACATTACCCCGATCCAAAAAATCCGTACAATTGGCAAATTAGGCATGCAGGAGTGACCTTTGCAAAAGCCGTGCTAAAGTGAAATGAGCAGACCAAACTCCCGCATGTGGTTCTCAAGAAATCCCTGACCGACTTCTGCTATACCTTGACTGTAAGCTTGTTAAACGTACTGGGCTATAATTGGCAGTGAGATTCTTGTCGTGTTTGTTGAAAATTGCGCAGACGATAGCATCCTTGCCCTCCTCGTTAAAGAGGCAGCTGTGAATCGGTAATTCAAATAAACGCGTCACTGGGCCACATAGCTCGCTTAAGAGTTCGTACAAAAGCTTAGAATGAATTTCATCCATCCCAGCGGATTTGGCAGGATTAAGCCCCTGTAAATGATGTAGAACCTTTGCCTACGACATTAAGACGTCTGTTGAACAGGAGTCCTGTGGGACTTGCGGCGCTAAGTCAACATGCGACAGCTGCGCAACCCGAACAAAATCACGTCATATTGCGCACGGAGTAGGCATGCTTTCTCGTGAGCAGAGTTTGCATCGGCGCCGTCGCTGCCTAATAGCACTGGGGTAGATACATTAACGTTACTACACCTGTTGATGTAAGCGAAAAACTTTTGTGGTTTGCGGAGGCTGAGCTAGTCATCTCCATCTCGTAGCTAATTCTAGTAGCTCGTAAGTGACTCTTGCACACATTCTGCGCATCATGATAACCTTGAAAGGTACATTCCGAGGGAACTGTCAAGTTGCTCCGCCAGCAACTCGCCCTTCTATTCATTAGCTGATGTGCGACTGAGCCCAAACATGTTTGCTTCGTCTTGTTACTCTTCTTCACAGGATAAGGGCTGTGAGTGTAGTATATTTATAAAGGTATCCTAACCCGTCTGCCTAACTGCATCCGGCAAGAGGATGAACGGGGAACTTACCGTCTTGGCCATAATAGACAGGACGTCGGGGTGCCAAATGTTCGGAGTCAGGGCTATGCGTGGATCGTAGCCTCCTTTGGGAGCGCAAATGAATGGCAAACACGTGTGGACACTGGCTCCCAAATGGGTCTAAACTCACGGTCACTCACAAATTCAACCGACTTTGCAAAACTAGGTCCAAGTTAGAAGGGGCATGGACCTCCTTGTACCTGTTGGGTCTATAGACAAATTGGTGAAAGGGTACATACAGTGTAAAATCCACAAGCTCGGCAGCGAGCCTTTTTGGAGCCGCCTCATAAGGTAGCTAATTTCTACTTTTTTCAGTGACTTAGAAGGACACACGTAGCAAGCATCTGTTCGCAGAGTGAGTGGGGAGGAAGTCAAAGAAACACCTGGAAGCGCTAATCGGGCTCATATTCGGCAGCAAAATTTTAAATTGAGTTGAATCAGTACATAGTTTAACTGCAAGAGCTTCAACAGCTCTATCCGCTGAGGTAAAAGTACGTGTTCTTGATTTGATTAAACCACTTCTGAGGTGCAGGGCGACTCCACCTCCGCGGTAATCAGGTTTGCGGGCAGATGCCGGTCTTGTGTAGCCCGGAACGTGTTATGCACTGTCCATGACGCTAGAAGACAAGCATGCTTAAGTGGACGCGAGTTAATCAGGGTGAGAGCTGTTCATTAGTGCCCCAACTGCACACACCTTGCTTATCAGGCTACGCAGGTTACTGAAAACACTGTGAAACGTCTGTTATATAGCGTCCGGGACGTGTGCTGCTAGAATAGGCTCTGATAGGTCTGACGTGGATCCTCGGCTCACCACTCAAAAAGCATACCAAACAAGGAGGTTGCTCGCCAGCGCCAAGACGCGCTCGAAGTTGTTGCTGACTTCCTTAAGGTGTATCCTATCTGCTAAAGTAGGCCAGGCCGTCTACTTATTTAGGAACCCTATGTTATACACGCGAAGCGCAGAAGATCTTGGCACCTCTCCGGCGTAGACAGAACCACGCGCAAAAGACGTGGTCTAATCTTAGTATTGTCACGCTATGTCAGTAAGCCTAGTAAGTGTTCTAATAGTAATACCAGAAAACCCGGATGGAACTTATTTAGAAACGCAAAGGTTGATCCAGTGACGGTCGTCATGATATGATATTTCGAAAGACCCACAAAGGACTCCGCAACGTCCATAAAGCACTGCAGCACTATGAGGAGGGGTTTACTACACGCTTTAATGTAGCAGTGGCCAAAACAGCGCTCGAGTTCATAGCCTCCTTTGGAGAAACAGCATGTGCACAGCAAATGGATTCCGGCAATGAGATGGAAGAGTTTTCTGCCTCCGTTACCTGGGACGGTGTATCGACAGAGCCCTTCGCTACATATCTTTGCTTGAGTTTGGTTGTAAGGATGGATTTCTATCTTGCGTCGCATTACTTTCGCAGATACAATAACCTGTAAAACTACCCCACGCACAACTGAGTTAAAGTTAAAGTCAGGATGTTTACCATCTAAGGGCCGCGCCGCAACAGTTTGTGGATCATTTTGAGAAGGTCTGCACGTTCAAGGGTTACGACGATTTCATCTACCTTCCAATCAAAGAACTAAATAAAAGGTGGAAAGGTACCCACTGTTTTCACCCATGTTTCAAATTCGTCAGTTGGGGCCGGCCGATATGCTTCGTGCCTCACACAATCAGGGCAATTATAATGTAAATCATCACTGATTTCTAGGTCGATATACTGCAGTCTATGCAACCTTGTGTATGCCTAAAGAAACCAAGGGATTCAGTGATCAAGTTTCATGCCACCGAAAGAACCATTAAATGTTTCTGAGAAATTTGTTTTATCACAAAAAGCTAACGATTCGGTTAATTGGTTCCCGGGCCACTTGGAACAGGATATCTTTACCATAACAAAAAAGACAAACTTTAAACGGACGACGGGAGTTTGAGCCGCGCTGCGGTAGACAAAAATGCATTCAACTTGAGCAGCAAACGGGTTTAATCCGGAGTGATCCGGTAGCACAGATTTCGACTCACCAGCTCGATAAAAGTGTAAAAAGATAATGACAGGATTTTATGCACAATAAACAACTAAAGCTGTTCTCCGTTGAAGCTAAGCGGGACTTCGAAGGAACGAGGGATGCAGCAGAGTCACGCGGTTGACTGGCAAGGCTATTTGCGCTCAAAAGATGAGATATCGACATAACTTACCGGATTATTTTGCGTTGAAGTGGTCAAACAAATGAAACGCACTACTCCGAATGAAAAACCACAACCACCAGGCAAAAACTTTAACATAA